CAGCTGTAAAATTAACGGGGAGACCTACTGGGCACCTGCCACCTTTCTTTAAACAATAAACATTTCAAGAATGCCACAGTCAGAGCCGCCTGCGGACTGGATCGTCCCCTGAAAATCAGAGCCCCCGCCAGCCTGATGTGCTTCACGGAAGTTTCAGGTCTTCGAGTGGAAAGAAACAGACAAAAGACTAGAAGCATCTCTAACAAATTAAGGAACACACACCTCGGTCTCCCAGATAAGCAAATGTTCTTTATTGCCAGGGGCACTGAATGGCAGTTAACTGTGCAATCGCACCTTCTTAAAAGTTTATGTTTCAACTCTGAATTTCTTGAAGGAAAAACAGACATCTGGTCAGATTCGCTTACAGTGGGGGGAGCAGGGGAGAAAAAGCATCTCAAAGACCCTACCGGCCTGTGATCAGGACATTGCTGCTCAGAAGAGGTGAACGACCCTAGCTAGCTATATGTGCCTGTATTCCGAACCGAAGTAACAAATGGAAAGCTCCAGAATTAAAGTAAACTAAAAATACGTTATACATTAGCGCATATCTCAGGAGGCGTATTCAAATTACTAATATCTTCACGAGTCTGCTGCTTATGGATGGATGCCCTTTTTCCTGTTGGGCAGCTTAAATAACAAAGGTAATAATCTGAAACGCTCATCCAAAATGGATTTAGGGAACTCTGGCTATTTAAGTGTATGCCTTCTCTTCTGCAGCTCTGCAGAAGTTAATTAAAAACTAGGCAAACTGCCTGCAGAATGATGATTAGCCTTCGTAAAATCTACAGGGTTTAGAAGTAAGAAGATCTGCGTGTGGCTTCAGAATCCACTACTTTCTAGTCTCGTGCCTTTGGACCCATCACATCGATGCCCAGGTTTCCGGTTGAGATGGGAAGAGTAATATTCCCTCGTTCATATGATAATCGAGCGGCTTAAGTGAGATGGTGTATGTAAAATACTTGGTATAGCAATTCTCGTATAAAAATGGGCTCAATAAATATTAGTGATTATTTGCAATGGCGGAGATGTCTGCTAAAGCACAGTTTCTCAACTGAATAACTGGGCCTGATAATTCACTGCGGCGGAGGATAACCCTGTGAGTGGATGTTAAGCATCTCTGGCCCTTCCACCCACCAGAGCTGTGACTAGCAAAAACGTCTCCAGACATCGCCATGTGTCCCTGGGAGCAGAATCTCCCCTGGTTAGAAACCAGTGTTCTGTATCTCAGCCCCAGTATGATATTGGTAATTACAGTCAAATGACCACTTCACCCCCATTTGCTTTGAGCAATTATTAAATGCTGTATGGGACTCATTTTGTTCATTTTTTTTTAAACTTCACATCCATCTCTCTTCTGATGACATCAGTACCCCCTTCCTGCTTTGGGAGAACGATCCCACTCTATTTGTACCCCATGTGCTTTGTGTAAAGTGCTCAGTACAGCGCCCGACACCCTGTGAATATGATGGTCGACACATGGCAGGAACTTAGCCCTCTTCTATTGGCTGATGAGGTGAGAAGGTCCCAAAGCTCCTGGAAGCCAACGTGGAGAAGAAACAGGACTGAGAGATGAAACCTAGGGCTTCGCTGACTCTGAATAAAGCCAAGCCTGAAGCCACCCCTACTCCCTAAGATCTTGTGTTATAGAAGCCAATAAATTTCTTTCTTGCTTGTGTCAGTTTGGGTTGACACAACTGCCTACTACGTGCCTGGCATTATGACAGGTATTTGTACACATACCTTTACTAATCTTCATGGCGACCTCGTGAGATAATGAAATGTATTTTACCTATGTTACAGGTGACCAGTGGAAGCTCAGGGAGTTAGATGATTCACTCAAGGTCTCACAGCCAGAATGTCAAGGAACTGTAATTTAATTTAGCTTTATCGGTCTCCCAGTCTGGTTTTATTGCACATGCCCCATTGTTGGCTTTGGTGGGCGAAATGAAGACACTGAGCAGGCAAACCACTCAGCTCCATCTCCATGAGAGGCAGAAGATGAGCACGACTTTGCCCCAGGTCTTATGGAAGATGCTCCGTGTTCCGGAGGGAAATATTGTAAAATCTTTGTAGGTGCATGTTGGATATGTGGAAACTATTTGCCTAGAGAGACTTAACTCCTATTCATTTATTGACGTGAGACAAGGAGGAGATTATATTAGTTAATATGAAACTGCCTTGTTTTGAATACGTCCAAAAATAGCCAAGAAAAAAATTACCTTCACTAATAAAGCAAGGCAGATATGAAACCTTCACGCTTGGGGGAACACAAATGATCTTATTATCCTGAGCATCTTGATGGTAACGATCAACATTCATCTTTATTTGAGTTTCAGGCAAAATAGAAAAGAGTAATAGCGCCTTGTGTTTAACACCGTCCATATGCTGCAAACCCAAGTCCAGCTCCAAAAGTAATCATAATAAGATATCAAAAATACTGTTTAGGAGAAGACCGGCATTCTTCTAGGTTGTCTCCATGCAATGCTGCTTTTACCTACATCAACCCTGGGAGGAAATTTTTACTTGGACAAACTTATAAGGGAAGTAAAACACTTTGTCCAAGGTCGACAGCTAATAACAGAGATTGGAAGCTAGGGTCTCTCTGGCTTATGAACCAGTTCTCCTTACGCTGCACCATGCTATTTGAGAAACGACTAAGATCCTAAGAACACAACCCGATACTTTCCCTTCCGATCATTTAATGGCAAGTTTGCACCAGCCCCACAAGTATGGCACTGAATAAAAATGCTATTTAAAATCAATAAATTTTCTAAGTCCCTAGGATATTTGAGGTACGCGACTGGGAGGTATGGGTTGTAGGTATTCCAATCATCTAATTGCTGAGATTCTTGGATGGAAGGTCCAAAAGTTCAGACCAAAAAGAGACCAAGTCATGGAATAAAATTCATTTTCCAAGTCAGCACTTCATTGCTTTTGGTCAAAGGTCACTGGATAACTCTGAAATTTACGTCTTCGATCCATCCATACTTTTAATCCACCATTTATTTTACCTCAACTACTTCAGTGTCTCCCCCGCCCCAGCTGAAGAGCATCTTCCCCTTCAGCCAGGATGAGGAGAGCTCCATCCCCCAACACACACGCACGCACGCACGCACACACACATACACATGCACACACGCGCGCACACACACACACACACACACGTTTAAAAATCTCCACGGTTTCCTACATGACTTAGGCGAAACATCAAAGTCTTTACAATAATCTGAGATCCTTAGTTCTACTAGATTTCAGTATGAATAAGTTAAACTTGTGTAAGGTATAGTCATAGTAAAACCTAGAAGATTAAGATAATTTCAAAAACTGTTTCAAATAGTCATGAGATACTACGAATTTTACTAAAATTTTAGCCTTCAGAAATTATGATAAAAATCCACACTTTTATTCCTATAAATAGTGAACCAAAGAACAATTGAAAAATATTCACGTTTGCCTAAGTGCTGCCTGAAACAGGCCCCAAATGTCCTGATCAATGCAGAATTCTCCTGCATATCGATATGAAATACAATTGAGGAATGATATGGGTAATGGTCAATAGAAAAGTCTTTCGATTATAAAACATTTTTATACCTTGATTTCACTGGTTATGATTAATAAAACATAAATAATTGCTGAGATCCAAACAAAGACATACATTCACCTTCCCAAACATATTCTTAATTTTCTAGGTAGAGATTTTCCCATAAGGATAATAAATAAGTAATTCTGGCAAAATAAGTACATTGCTTTGAAGCTTAAAACTGTGTTTTCTAACATGAAGACTTTTGCAGTTCCTGGGAGGTTCACTGACTCATTTCTAGCACTTCAATACTGCACCCCAAATTATACTATGCTTGAAATTATATTTTCAGTCCTTGAAAATAAACAGACCAGGGAAGAGAGGGATGGGAAAGAAGAATTTAAAAACTTTCTAAGATGGTTTGAAGAGTGTAAAAATGATCATACTTCCGAAAAGCAAATTTTAAGTACCTGGACTTTGTTTAAAATGGCATTAATAGATTAATCTGAGTGGAGCACAACTGTCATATATTCAGGCGAATTAGGGTCCTAGGTGTTTAGAGCTCCTGTTACTCCCCTCCTAACAAGTATCATATTCCTGCTCGCTTTGCAAACAAAAACTTCTTGTTTAAATTACAACGTGATCGTTTTCAACGTCGATATAGTGTCAGGCCGTATATAGAAGGATTCTGTATATAGAAGGAAATTTAGTCCTTTAAATTTCTAAAATATAAAATTTATCTGCAGTGTTTCCAAAAAAAAAAAAAAAAGTGCCTAAATTTAAGGGAGGAAGGGTAGGAGAGAAGGAAATTGAGATACTGATTAGACAAATCTCTTTGTAGGGAATGATCAACCCAAATGTCTGGGCTCCATCCTCTCCCCGAGGTTAACTTCCAAAAGGAAGAGGAGAAGTCTTCTAAAAATGCTTACTGGGTACTGCAAGGAGCACATTTCAGAATTCATCTCTTCCAGTATTACTGTGAGAAAAATTCATTACACTGTGGGAAAAATAGGTAGAAAGAACTCAACCACCTGCCACTTCAAAATACGACAGTGTCCCTCGTATTGCTAACCTACCCCAGTCAGCTCAGATGACCAAACATAAATGGAATAATATCATGGATGTTTCCTGAAAACCAAGGAGCTAGTCTCTGTTCAGCTTGATCCAGTGAACGGTCCATTTTTACCATTTTCACCTAGCTCAACTTCAGTTCGTGATAGGAAAGCAAACTGTATAATGAAAATTCCTATCATGAGACATGAGAATCATCCATGGGAAAGAAAGCCAGATGCAATTAATGGCTATTTTATGATATGGCCCGTGACATCGTATAGCCACAGCTCTACGCATTGCTCTAAGCATGCTGCATGGCATGGCGGTCTCCCATGTAAACCCAGGCCTCCAACGATGTGAACCTGAGAAATGAAACAAAACAAAACAAAACAAAACAAAAACGTGAAGAAACGGTCATGAAACTCACCTCCCTGCCTCAAAAGTGAACCAAGCAGCATCTCGTCCGTACCGCCGCAGGGCGCTTAGCGGCCAAGAGATGAGTTTGACTCTGGGATTCTGGACGTCCCAAAGACAGATGTGCTCATATGTAATCTGCAAGGCACATTCGCCATGTACATCTAAGTTAGGAGATGGCATCAAATACACATTGAATCTCTCTGGGAGAAAAACAAAAGGTTAGTCTAAAATCCCCTGGAATAAAACATCAAAGACGCTGTAGGAACAAAGAGGCATTTCAACATCATTCAAGCTCATATTCTAGCTTTTGATTGGATATTCAGAAAGACAAACCTTTCTCATAAGTTAACAGTCCCAGGAAATGATTTTTTTTTAATGAAGACCGTATTAAATCACATAATAATTGTACAGTCTGGCTGCCAACATACACGAAACACTATTTACATGAGCAAAGACTATTTTTAGAATTGTTAAATTTGCATAATAAAAAAATTTATACGGCCATAAATGACTAAAGCAATGAAACCATTAAAAACAATTTTTTTTCCTTCCAAGTACGTATTAATTACACCCACACTTTTGTGTTCACAAGAGATGCAGGTGCAAAATAATTGTTATGTGGCTTAATGATATTAAAGTTATATTGATCACCTTATAATTTTCATAACTAGATGAATAAAACTGTTTCCCAAATTATTTAAATAAAACTCGACGCTAATACCATGCACTTCACAGACCAACAGTTTGGGAAAATGCCAACAGATATATTTGAACTAGTTTTAACAATGAGCTGTCTTCTGCAAATACTGGAAAGAAATATTAATTTGCTTTGCTTGTTTAGATGATTCTTAAAATTTAAGATAACTCTGAATAAAGCTCTTGGCTTACTACTGCAATCAAATTTTCATCCCCATGGAGACGATCACGGTATTTCTATTATATTTTTAGAAAATTAATTAATTTAAGAAGTCGCAAGTCGAAAATCTTTAAGTGAAATATGAGCAAAAATATTATTACTATGGCAAACACATTTTTACCTATCCATCATTATGGTAGATTGCCTACATCTAGCAAAATAGTATGGCACTAATAATATTAATGTCATTCTAAAGTAATTGTTTTATAGTAAAGAAGCCATTCAAATTTTCATAGATTTTAATTGAATTTAGTAAACAGAAATGCCAAGATTGTGTTTGTAAATGTATTAAATGCTTCTATTCAAGTTTTCTAAGTTACTTCAAACTCTCTACGACCAAATATTTGCTGTTAGAAAGTCCCTATTATTTTACAAGTATATTCTAATGGAGCACATTTCCCTCTGGAGAGTTCTGGAACAAGTAAGCAAAACTTCCATCATTAAGTAAAAAGTAAGAGAAACCATTACCAGTTTATATGCTTTGAAGTTTCTTTTATAATCACCGTTATCAAGAATGATAACAGTAATAGTGGTGAGACTGACCACTAAATGATGACTCGAAGTCACACAAATGAACAAAGTGCCTTGAAAGACATGGTTGAGTTTCATAATAATCTTTAGCACTTGTATATCAGAAGTATTCTTATTCCTATTTGACAGAAGAGGAAACTGAGGCAGGGAAACATTGAAGGCTAAGTCCTAGGCATAGCCAATTCAGCATGTAGCCCTACCAGGACGCCGTTTCACAAATATAAGTCTGAAAAATAAGTGCTGATTTGAGCATTTCTTATAGATTGGGAAAAAAAAAAAAAAAAACCTGTCATGATTGCCTCTTTATGTTTGGCTTCATGCACATCTGACTGCGAGGCAGATGGTGCATCCTCCCAGCCGGGTGCATCCTGACTTGGTGACCCACCCAGGGAGGAGCCTGGCACCCTGGCACCTGACTTAACTACTGTGTAGCTCAATTTCCCAGTCTAACACCTCCGTGAGCTATGGCAGATACGGTGTATCCAAAACGTTCCCAGCCTGTAAATGTGTCATGAAGACACAGAATTCTAACCGGGAGGGAAGGGGTTTTTAACTGACAATCAGGGCATGAGCCCACGGGAGGGGTCAGTCCGATTCCACCTCTGCCAAGTTCATAACCAAGCCGGGTGACCCGCAGCCTCCCGGTTGTGACATAGCCTCATGGATCACGTCAGTAGGCTAAAGCAGAACTCTCGGATCCAAACGGGCCTGTCACAAGGTTCAGTTATTTGGAGACAAAGAAATGATCCCTCATCTCCATTCTCATACTGTAAACTAACACTGATTTTTGCCGAAGTGTTCATGAATATTTTGGTCATTATGACTTGAAATGATTTATTCCAAGATAGCGTGTTGAGCTCAAAGATTTGGCTCAAGGGTTTCAGTAGTAAGGAAAAAAAGAAATTACAGATTTAGGTGGGTTTAAACTTGATGGAACTTGATTTAAATTTGATGGAACTTGATTTAAACTTGATTCGTGGAGTTTGGGCTCTATTAAAAACACTGGAAAGATTTCAATAAAATGTTTAAGTGAAAAAGGCAAGACAAAAACCCATTGCGCTGTAAAATCTGTGTGTTCTAAATACAGGCCCAAGAGAGCATAGTCTGGAATCAAATGTTAGTTACTGAAATTGTAGCAATATCTTTAGTTCTTCTAAGCTTCAGTTTCCTCTTCTGTAAAATGGTACCTCTACCATAGGGCTACTAGAAAATTCAATACTCTAATGCATCTCCTGCAGAAACTGGCACAAAGCAGGTTTCTCCAAAATTTCTAGCTGATTTTATCAATGTAGATATATTCACATTATGCATGAAAACACATTAAGAGAAGAAATACACTGAAATATTAACATATTTTAGGTGAAATAAATAGTTATTTTGACCTCTACAGACATTTTTTATAAAGCCAGAAATTCTGCAGAATGAAAATGCCTCATGTTTTATCATATGGGGCAAAACAGTTTTACAAAAGAACAAAGGAGAGAATTTTCTTTACATACCACTCTGTTCTCTCTCAACCCCGGTAGCCAGTAAGTCGGGCTCTCCGAGGCTGATGTCATTGACCCGTGTCCCTACGCACTCCATCTGGAGTACTTTGCACCATTCGTCAGCCTCAAGATCTGCGGAAACATCCAAAAGATTAACCTGTCAGCCCTGGTCCCATTGAAAAGCCGAAAAACAGAAGCCCTCCCTGCCTCACACCAACCTGATTCACAAGCAAAGGTCTTGGAGGTGTCGTCGCTGAAATAAATCCCTATGGCGTGTTTCTTGGTGCTTTTTGGCAATCGAGCTACATTCTTCACATTGTTGAGTTCTGTGACCTGAAAAACGAACAGTTACAAGTTGGGTCACACTTGCTAAATGAATGCTTCCAGTCCCACCACCAAACCGAGGGGAGACCCAGAAAGTCGGAGGCACATCACAGAGGAACACGGCTTGACAGCAAAACGTGCATGTGAAAGCTATGAATCATTTCGGTGGGATCCTGAACACACAGCAAGGGAGGTTAACAAATCATCTTCCCCTTTTCCACTTCCTGAAGCATGTTAGGTGGCAGATGCTCGATCGCCTGGAGGTAGAAAGCTTGTTTTAGTGTTTTTACCCCCATAACTCTACCTTCTCGGTTGTTTGCATGTCTCTCTCTCCATCACTGTGGACAGCCTTTAAATACTCTGTCCCTTCAGAATGTCCCCAATGTAAGGATCGTTAACACATCGACCCCCGAGGAAGAGATGGGAAAGACAATCCGGTTCATAACTGAATTATCTCACTCTTTGCCAGTCAGAGATGGAGTGTCAGAACCCCAAAAATGTCCTCTACTCAGGGTTCAAGTCCTATATTCCAACACAGAGACCAGTTTGTGAAATGCTCCCCATCCATCTGACTAACTCCTGGCTTCTCAATGGTTATGGACCCTCTGTTTTAAGAATTTGAGAACATTGCAGGGTATCACCTGGCTACTATTACTGTGGTTCCTATTTCTATTATTAGTCATTCTCTCACGATTACTTGGTCCCCTTAACACTTTTATAAACCCCTCCCCTCCCACACAGGATATTGGTTTATTGTGTTTACAAAATGGCCGTCCCTCCTTCAGTTCTATCCAGACCCCCTGGGGTATTCGAGGGGTGTGATAACTGGGTCCTCTGAGGCTTAGGTGGCTTTAGGGTAGAGTATGTACAAGATAAATAACTCTTTTACGCTGACGAGTTTAACTTCTCCTTCCTAAATCTCCTTTGTGTTTTACAAAAGAATACGTCATACCATCTCTCCCATCTATTACTCAAAAGTCAATAACTGCATGGTTCAAGAAGTAGATGAGGAAAGAAAGAAATATCCTCCTTGAGTACACTAACCTAATTATTTCATTTCCCCACTTCTTAACCTCCATTGGCTCTTTATAGTAGACGTGCAAATTTATTAGCACGAAATATAAAGATTGCTATAGACTAAATGTCTGTGCGCCCTTCATGGTTCATATGTCAAAATTCTACCTCCCCAGGTGACTGTATTAAGAGGTGGAGCCTTTCAGAGGTGCTTAAGTCATGAGGGTGTGGCCTTCACAAGAGGAATTAGCAACCTTATAAAAGAGAGGCCAGCGAGCTCCTTCCTCCCTTCTGCCACGTGGACACAGCAGGACAATGCCTACTGTGAACCGGAAGATGAGTTCTTACCAGACACTGGACCTGCCGGTGCCTTGACCTTGGGTTTTCCAGGTTCCAGAACCGTGAAACATAAATTTCCGTTGTTTATAAGCTACTCAGTTTATGATCCTTTTGTCATAGCAGCCCAAACAGACTAAGGCACCAGCGTCCCCCAAAAGCACGTCAAATCAATCTCGAGTAGCTTGGCACGACCTGCCTCGCCCCCCAACTACGCCAAGTCCATCGGAGTTTACCAGATGAAACCGTTTATATTTTATTTATTTTTGTGCCACTGCCCTAACATAAGGCACTATCGTCTTGCCACAACCACTGATTGGTCACCGCACTGCTATCTTAACCCCATTAATTCACAGAAAACACAACATCCAGAGGGGCTTTTCAAAACCCAACTGCAGTTTGAGCATTTCTATGCATAAAAACGCAACACTTCAAAGACTTGCCATTGCGCTTGGAACAAAAGCCCAAATCCTCAGAATGACCTTTAGGCCCTCTGCGGCTTTCCCCATAGTTAACTCACCAGCCTCTTCTCTTCACCCTGAGTCCTACATTCCCAGCTACACTGGACTTTATTCAGTCCCCAGAAGGCACCACGATTCTCCTGGCACAGAACCTTCCCCACTCTCTCCTTATTTCTTCCCACTTACCCTAAGGGCCTTAGTTTAACTCTCAGTCACCTGTAGAGTCCTACTGGACAACACGCCCCTCTCTCCCTGTCTAATCAGAGTCTCCAGGCAATACCATCCAAAGACACGCATGCCCCCACCCCCAGCCCTTACAGCGATGGGTTATGGTTATGGCTGTCTTGCCTCTGGTGTGAAAAGTTCCATTAGACAGGACAGTATATATTTTGTACACAACTGTGTCCCCTGAATCTGACACAAAGCCTGCCAACCAACTGGAACTCGATAAATACACGTGGACTTGGTAAACAAAAGAACAAATGCACCCACAAATTTACTTGCATGGTGCTTCTCCAAGCTGAATGCCTCTCTCTCCTGCCTCTTTTCTCCGGGAAAATTTCACTTTTCTTGCAAGGCCCTCTTCCTCTGGGAAACTTGCCATGACCTCAGTGTGAATCAATTGTTCCCTTCCTTCTGCTCCTATACATGCTGCACGAAGTTGTGTTATATCATCTGTTGTTATAATTAGTCCATTTCTCTCCAGCTCCCAGCTAGACATGAGTCACCTATCAATAACTTACTGATGGACTGAATCAATGAGAAACAATAATTTGAGAGTCGACATTTATTGAGCCTGCATCACATGCCGTAGACCATGCTTCCACTATTCTAATAAAGTATGTCTTGTTTGATCTCCATAAAAACCCGACGACATAGATATTATTATCAATATTTTCCAGATGAAGACTGAGGCCGAGAAAGATCAAAGTCATGTGCCCGAGTTCACAGCCAAAATGTGGCAGAACCAAGTTTTGAACGAGACAAATGAAACCTCAATTCTGTGTTCACCTGTCTGAATGAAACGTTAATGACTCGCTCTAAAAACTTTCAGCACAGAAAAATCTTCCTGCCCAAAAGTCATCTCCTATTTGAGGATCTTTCTTTTTGGGGCAGGAGGAAGGAGTGGGGTGTGAGTGCCCCAGGATTTATTCGGACCCTCTAAGTGAGACATTATATAAGAGTTGTCCACCCTCATCTGAAACACAGCCACGACTCTGAAATGTGTCATTTCATTATTTATCCATTAAGGGCCAAGAGGAAGGAATAAGTCACCTGAAGAATCAGGAAACCTAGGGAGAATTGCATGAGTCAGAACACAATTACCCATCTTAGAAATTGGTCTAGATAATAACGACGTAACACTCCCACTCAGGGGAGGGGATTGAGTGTGCCCAGGGCAGGCAGGTTATGTTTTAGGTGTTGAAAAGACTATCGGGTCCTCAAGCAACAGTTCTTTCCTCAACTCAGAACTCCACCTCGGCGGGTATATGTGTGCATGTACCCACAAGCCCCCACCCACACATACACTCTTTACTTTCGAAAGAATGGCAATCTACGCTAACCTTCCTCAGACTCTTCCTCAGACTGCATGTTAAGGAGACAATTACAAGAACAAACATTTGCAGGTATATTTACAAGTCACATAAAACTTCTACGAGATGTATTTACTTCCACCATCACTCCATTTTGAAAATGAGAAAACCAAGACAGGACATATTTTTTAATATTTCTTTTACAAAGAAATAATTTGGCCCTTTTGAAGCTTTTGAAGCAAACACAGATTTTATTAAGATCCAGATTCTCATTTAGTATGGATGTCATTTTAAATGAGGGCTACATAAGTGTATCTGACTGTCACAAGTGATGGTATTGGATCCTCGAAGGTACTTCAAAAGGATAAACATTCAGGATCATGCTCATGCAATAAACAACTCCTTTAACTCACCTTCCATTTGAATTTCTTGTCTTTTCCTTATGTCTCAGATCAGTAGAAGTTATTTCCTGCCAAGCTCAAAACTTTTTAGTAAAACTCCCTCCTGAGCCTCTGTAGTCATAGATTTTATTTTTCTTTCACAGTGCGAGAGAACAGACACACCATAACCTCTACGTGTGTAATGATGGCTTTGTATATAGATTCAAAATACAATATAAAAATATCGTCAAGGTGTAACAGCATCAAAGAGAGAATTCCTTAAACACAGCTGCGGTAGAACCATATTCCCTCTTCGAGAATCTCCCTTGCATTCATTCATTCATCAAAATTTTCAATGAATTGTTCAAAAAGAAAATTCAGGTGACAACCAGGGGACCTCAAGGGCATCTAGTCACCCAGAACAACTCCCATTTGCTTGATAGAAGCAGGAACATAGGAACTTGGTAAAGATTTGGTTCCCACTTGATATCCCAAAGCTCACACGTCTGCACAGGACTATCTGTTTTTGCTCTGCCTTTTACGTCATTTCACGACTGCATTCTCTAAGAAAGACAATAAAGCATTTCAAACCAAAGCCTGAAATAAATCTGAGAATTATGATGTAAGGGACAAAAGAACGTTCCAAAAGAGGTCTTAAATGAGATCCAGTTACACATTTTCATTACTAGCAGAAGTGTTCTGATAATTAGCAGGGGGGGGGGAGTCATTTTGTGATTAAATATGGTGTGTAAAGAGTTTAAATATTTTCACCTACCTTTTTATATACTCTCCATGCTAAAACAATTGCAGACCAGGTTAGACAAGCAAAATAACATCTGTTTATTGTCTGGGCTTCTGGCTGCTGGTTACGTCTTTCAAGCTAATGTGAGCCTTCAATTTCTAAACTTCCTTTCCCTTTCCAAGATATATGTAAGCTTACAGAATCCAGTCACACTATCAAAGAAGACCAGAAACATCCGTATGGCTTCCTGAAAATGTCACTATTAGGATCCTTGAAATGCTTGATTTTCTCTAGACACTGAATGTTTACTTTCCAAAGCCCAGGTTAGCTTCAGGTTTAATCTGATTTTGTACATCCTGGGGCCAAGTCCATCCTTAGACTAACTCAAAATTCAGAGAAGACAGAGGCTCCCTGAAAATTCCACTGGTCAAAAGATAATGAACACTAAATAGGAAGT